CAGTCACTTGCTGACACCTACTGGCGGTTTTAATTTCACATTTCGACTATTTTGTTCATGTTTTAAATTATTTCAAATATCAGTATTCAACGTTTTATGTTAAAAACAAAACATTAGGCCTATTTATGCATCTGTAACTGCAGGTTAAATGCTTCCATGTCCGCTCTGAGATACACAAACTGTGTAAATACATCTAATGAACATTTATATATATATATTTATTTGCTTCTTTTCCATTTTGCATTTACTTGTACTTTTACTTTCAATACTTAAGTATGTTTAAGATTTTAAAAAATACTTTTCGTACTTAAGTACAATAAATATCACATACTTTAAGATTTTTACTCAAGTAATATTCTAAACGGTGACTTCAACTTCTACCAAAGTCATTTTCTGGTAAGATATCTGTACTTTTACTTGAGTGTGGCTTTCAGGTACTTTATACACCACTGATGTTTACAGCACATTCACATTGAGTTTCAGTCAAATGTGTTTTATTGACAATAGAAATAATCATATATTTATTTATTTTTCAAAGCATCTGTAGTTCAGCTGCGTCCAGAACAAACAACGTACAAAACACCACAGACTCTGTAATTGCTGTTTTTATAATGTTTCCAGTTTTATTGGTATTATTCATGTGTGTGTGTGTGTGTGAGAGAGAGAGAGAGAGAGAGAGAGAGAGAGAGAGAGAGAGAGTTGAAATTGCTTCAGGCATTATCTGTATTTCTAACATTTTTATTTATTTATTTTGGTAAGGATGGATTTGTGTGCGTGTGCGTGTGTGCGTGCGCACGCGTGTGTGTGTGTGTGTGTGTGTAGTTTAGATGTGCTCTACATCTTAAGGAAACACTCCAGGGCAAATTAATTAAGAAAACTGAAACAAATCACTAAAGCATTAAAATATTTGCACGATTCTCAGAATCAGTGGCATGACAACACAATCCAGGAAGCTTTTACATGAAAGCTCAGAAGAGCTGCGGCATCTGAACCTGAATTAAGCCAAACATTAAAACATTAATGCGCTGCTGTGGTTTAGTGGTTAAAGATCTGGGCTGACTTCCAAAAGGTTGTAGGTTTGAACTCTTTAAATTCTTCTGAAACACTGTTTTGTGCCCTTGAGCGCAGCGCTTGACCTCGGGTTTCTCCGGGAGGAACGAACCTGCGGGAAAGCGTAATGTAAGTCACTTCGGATGAAAGCTTCTGCAAATGAGTAAATGTACATGCAGTTACTCTGGGCTTTTTGCTGCAGACTTCAGTTCATCTGCTCTTCTCATGAGGATTGTTACATTTGCAAAGAGCACTCATGAATACGGCAATCCCGTCTTCCCGAAGAGAAACACGACATGTCCTGATATATCATCTTCAGGATGCTCGAGTCATGAAAAATACAGCAGCGGAAACGTAAAGAAAAACTGTTTATTCTTGAGAGCTGCGTGTTTCCCGAGAGAACGTCTGCGGTCGGTGCGGTTGGGAATAAGAGTTTCGCTCTGAGCCTTACTCTCACAAGTATTCAACACGGTTAGAACAAATGCATGCAAAGCTAATAAAAATCAAGCTAAATTGTGCGTATGAGTTGCATTGAATCCACAAAGCAATGTGGGAGTTAAAATGCTTGAAATTTATTGACTCTCTTAGAATAAATAAAGTTTATTTAAACACATCCTGCTGGGAACACACAAACACGCCAACGTTTTCATAGCAGGATTTTTCCAGTGTGATGCAGCATGCAATAACGCTGCTGGACGTCGTGTAGATGCACCATCATTTGGTGGAAATGCTCATGTTATTTCTCTCTCTCTCTGCAGGGAAAGAAGAATCGGTGGCCACCTTCAAGGGAACCGAGTTCTTCTGCTACGATCTGTCCATGACTCCCATCCAGAGCAGCACAGATGAGATCACGCTGTCCTTCCGAACGCTCCAGCGCAACGGTCTGATGCTTCACACCGGGAAATCTGCAGACTACGTCAACCTGTCGCTGAAGAGCGGCGCCGTCTGGCTCGTCATCAACCTGGGCTCCGGCGCCTTCGAGGCGCTCGTGGAACCGGTGAACGGGAAGTTTAACGACAACACTTGGCACGATGTTAAAGTCACGCGAAACCTGCGACAGGTAAGACTGAGCGCTCGCTTCTTTAAAGACATTGCCGTGCATATTGATCTCTAGCAGATGCACTGAATGTTGGGAATCACTGTGGAAGGGCATGATCGCACATCATTGGCTGGAAACGTTGTTTAAACGACGGCCCATAATCCCCAGTGCTTCCCGACAGCTGCCGCGTGATTCCTGACAGGTCTGGGAGCAGCGATGTGTGTTTTCTTGTTAGACCTGATCCAGACCGATCCAGACCCATGCCTCCTGCTTCAGGACTTCATTATGTGCACCTTAACTTAATGTTCTGTTCAGAGAAGAGTTGTCCATCTGAAATTGACTCCAACCTAATGAAGTCGGCAGTCCTTAGGGGACGAGAGCGCCGGTCTGGTTCTACAGGCTGAAATCAAGGATTTTATGATCGGACCTGATTGACTTTACATGTCCGCATTGAAAAAGAACAGAAACGTGTATTAACAGAACAAATAACAGCACACGACACTGAACACAATATGGAGAAATGCTCACAGAACGCGAGCCCAAACACTCGTGAACCGTATGCAACACAATGAGATGTGTTCGGCATCATTTATTGAAAAATAATGTGTTTTTTGAACATTAAAGCATGTCAACATATTCTGTTACACCAAATACACAAAATAATGATCTTTCAAAAACCATCATATGACCCCTTTAAAGGAGCTTCATTACGAGCGCAAACTGACGGAGCAAACGCAATCTACTCTGAAGACTCCGAGAGACGTTCCATTCACACACACACACACACACACACACACACACTCACACACACACACACACACACACACACATAATGAATGTTCATGGACAGAAACACAAACGAGCTTCTCATACTATACAGATATAGGCGATTCTTCAGCTATGCCCACATTTGTCATTCTAAACTGCATATCTTCCAGTTAGCATTTGATGTGTCCTAAATACAATCTTAAAATCATATTTTCACATTTTCTGCATACTTGCACCAAATTACAGCTGGATTGGAAGTAGCACACAATAAAAATAGTGATATTTACCTTGATTTTTCTTTATATTTTATCTCCTCGCTGACACCTCTCGTAAACTAGCTTTAGAAAAATAAATCTCTAATAGGCCAGAATTGTTGGTTGTGATGGAATGATGCTATTCTGCTATTTTTATATTTGATATAAAAATGTATTGTCTATAATTTGAACTTTTGTCACGTAGTGTGTTATGATGAATGTGGTTTTATTTCCGCTATATGTGTAAAGCACTTTGGTCAATTTTGGTTGTTTCATTGGTGCTTTATAGATAAAAAGATAAATAAATTAATCATTTTTGTATAATAAATATTGAAATGGTTGATACTTATTTCACTTGTTGTGCAGATCATTATAGATGAGATAAAATGCATAATTCATAATATTCATATTTTATTGATGGGTTCTAAAGTCTGGGTTTGGAATGAGTAAAACAAAATCTAAAAGACATTTGAAAATGAGTAAAGATTAAAAAATGAAGGAAAAACATATTTAGATTGACCTAAATATGAAATGAATTGTAATCAACCGCTGGGACATAAATGTGTGTATAGCTGAAGAAACCCTTACATTCTTCATTTCTTTCTACACACACACACACACACACACACACGCACGTGCGCGCACACACACACACAGATTGAATAAAAATGAAGAATGGTTCAATAGGCTCCTGTAATTGGCAGTTGCAGATAGCAGTGTGGAGATGCGATCGATTTCACTTATGCTCCTCGCTCATTCTGTCTCTGCTCTGGTAATTGTAATTGGAACGAATGTCTTGTCACCCGTAATAAGAGCGATTGTAATTGGCTGCTGTGGCACGAGGGCGTGTCCGCTGTAATAATGCCTATTGCTATTGGCTGATAGTGTGAATCCAGAGAGGAAACAAAAGGGAAAATATTTTGTCCGCCACTGAATTCAATTACACACTCGAGTCTTTATTCTCCTCAGAGAACAAACGAGGGATGCTTGGGTTCAGAACCACTCTCGTAAAAAACAGCTTAAACAGCTTTGTTGGTTTAGCTACCCAAAACTCCTTCAAAACCAACAAACTGAGACCAGCGGACCTCCTCAGGCTGCTTTTCCATGGGATTTAATGGAGGATGTGAGCTGAACGCACCATGAGACACCAGAGAATACATTCATACATGAAGATGCAAATGTATGAGTGTTTGAGAGTCACATTTAATTCTAGACGTCTTAATGAGGACATAAGATGCAGAAAGATTTGTGCAGGATTTATGGGATAGCAAATATCATTAGCTCAGTGTAAAAGCATATAGAAGTCATTGTAAAGACCCACCATGATAAAAAACAAACGTGTGTGTGTGTGTGTGTGTGTGTGTGTGCGTGTGCGTGTGTGCGTGAGTGTGTGTGTGTGTGTGTGTGTGAGTGTGTGTGTGCACGCCAGTGTTTATTCTGTGTGTAATATATAACAGTCAGAATGAGGGAAATAAATAAATGAAAATCAATGTAATAAATAATTAAATGTAAGGCTGCAGCACAACATCGCCACCAAGTGGTGAGCAGTGAAAGTGCTGAGAGTTTCTCCACTTCCTGTCCTTCATGGAGGTCCGATCCAAACTGAAAACAAACACATCCAAGATGGTGGACTGATTTTGTTATGGTACTTTTACTAATATAACCAAGAGTGAAAAAAAAATTGATTGTATTTATTGTACATTTGAATGCTTAGCAGTGTGCATGTTAAGATGAACTGAAGTCGAGAGTCATGTGCTTCTGTGTTCACCGCAAAAAAATAAACAATAATTTTCTTCCTCTTGTTTTCCAGTACACATATCTAAACAGTCATGAGTCAAGATACATTCACTGGAGAAGTGAAATGACTGAAGATGCTGAATGAAGTTAATTTATGCTTAAAATGAGAACAAATATCTGCCAGTGGGGTCAGAAAACAAAATCATAATTTAAAGGGGAAACATTATTGTTGTTGTTTTAATCTTAAACTCACTTCATTTTGATATTTTTTTCAGAAAACAAGACTTAATATCTTCAGTGATTTTGCTTCTCAAGTAAATGCATCTTGATATATGAATGTTATTTGTGCTGGAAAGCATGAGAAGTGAGTTTCTGCAGTGTTTGTGTAGCGTGAATCAGATCAGCTTTAGACTGATGTGTGGAAACGGTCTGATGTTGATTTCAGTGTGTTTTCATGATAAATATACCGGCGTCAAACGCTTCAGATGGAGCTGCTGTATTTGATCACAGCTGTTCTTCTCTTAGCGGATACTCTACGTGTCTGATAACTTTATAGGGAACTATCTGAGGTTCGATTCTCGCTGCCGTTTCTAGGAAGAGGTCGTGACATTTTCTCTTCAGCGTTTCTATTACAGACTGATTCCTGAGAATCAACATAACGTGGATATTCCAGCGCAGGTGAGAGTCACGCACAGACCTGAAACCTGATCTATAACACTTCCTGTCGACCTTTTCGAGTCTTCTGAGCATAGCCATAGTACAGTCAGAAAACACTGCTGGTGCACGCTGCAGTGATTGGCTGAGGATGCTTGAGTGCGCAGTGCTGATTGGTTGAGGTGATAATTGGAGGCGGAGTCATTCACTCCTCAGCCTCTCCCTGCTGTCTGTCTCTCAGCAGCAGTGAGCGTGTGTGTTTGTCTGTGTGTGTGTGTGTGTGCGTGTGCGAGTGTGTGTGTGTGTCTCTGTGTGTGTTAGAGTGTGTGTGTTAAGAGTGTGTGTGTGTTAGAGTGTGTGTGTTAAGAGTGTGTGTGTTAGAGTGTGTGTGTGAGTGTGTGTGTGTGTGTGTGTGTGTGTGTGTGTGTGTGTGTGTGAGTGTGAGTGTGTGTGTGTGTGACCTCTGATCTCAGGCACTGTAACCCAGAGGATTTGCTCAATAAAGCGGAGCTGCGGTGGGAATCAGACTAATCAGACGGATCTTGAGTGTTTCCCGCTCCGCTGTCAGCACCACAGGAGGATAAATGAAATTAGTTCTGAGTAACAGTTACCGGCGGCCGAGAGCGAAACTCTGCTGAGACTGAAGACACAAGACTAATATTTGACATTCAATTCAGAGCTTAGAAGATGAAGATAAAGTGTGTGTTTAGATGAAAACTGAGACTTTTGCAGGCAGAAACAAATCGATCAGACTGTGCAGAATGATGCAAAACACTCTTTATTTAATAAATACATAATAAATATTAAGATATTTTATCATATATGTTTATATATACACTACCATTCAAAAGTTTGGGATCTGTATTTTTTTATATGTATTTTTTAATTAATAATTTTAATGCATTAAATGGATCAAATCTCAAATAAATGCTGTTCTTCTGAACTTTCTGTTCATCTGTGAATCCTGAAAAATAAAATGTATCACAGTTTCCACAAAAATATTGTGCAGCACGACTGTTTTCAACATTGATAATAATCAGAAATGTTTCTTGAGCAGCAAATCAGCATATTAGAATGATTTCTGAAGATCATGTGACACTGAAGACTGGAGTAATGATGCTGAAAATACAGCTGCGCATCACAGAAATACATTACAGCTTAACAGATATTCACATAGAAAACAGCTGTTTTACATTAGAATAATATTTCACTATTTTTACTGTATTCTTCATCAAATAAATAATAAAGCAGCTTTGATGAGTAGAAGCGACTTCTATAAAAACATAAAAAATCGTACTGATCCCAAACTTTTGAACAGCAGTGCGATATACTAATAAATATTGCATTAATAATGGATTTTTTAATAATAATAATAATAATAATTGTGGATTTTAGTTTTGATAGTTTTTTTTTTTAGTCTGGATCAAAGATTACCATCTACTTTCAGTCTTTAAAATACTTCCCTTTCTGTTGAAGCAAAGACAGACGGACATCCGTAACGAGGCGATCAGAGCAGAAAATGCAGATCCTGTGTTTGCCAAAAAAATTCAGTTTGATTGATTTGTAAAGAGGTTCTCAAAACACGTATTGTTCCAGAAACAGGTGACGGATGTGAGTGTTTATAAAGCCGCTGAGAAATATGAGAATGCACTTTTTCACAATCTCTGAATGTGACCTGCATGTGTTTCTGAGCCTCTGTCATGAAACGAAGCTGATCAAGTGATTGTGGATGAATGAAAAAGAACAAGAGCTGAGTTCATCATTACTGTATGTGTGATCACACACACACAAACACACACACACAAACACACAGACACACAAACACACACACACAGACAGACAC